TGATACAGCTATCACTTGATACAGCTATCACTTGATACAGCTATCACTTGATACAGCTGTCACTTGATACAGCTATCACTTGATACAGCTGTCACTTGATACAGCTGTCACTTGATACAGCTGTCACTTGATACAGTTATCACTTGATACAGCTATCACTTGATACAGCTATCACTTGATACAGCTGTCACTTGATACAGCTATCACTTGATACAGCTGTCACTTGATACAGCTATCACTTGATACAGCTGTCACTTGATACAGCTATCACTTGATACAGCTATCACTTGATACAGCTGTCACTTGATACAGCTATCACTTGATACAGCTATCACTTGATACAGCTGTCACTTGATACAGCTATCACTTGATACAGCTGTCACTTGATACAGCTGTCACTTGATACAGCTATCACTTGATACAGCTATCACTTGATACAGCTGTCACTTGATACAGCTGTCACTTGATACAGCTATCACTTGATACAGCTATCACTTGATACAGCTGTCACTTGATACAGCTATCACTTGATACAGCTATCACTTGATACAGCTGTCACTTGATACAGCTGTCACTTGATACAGCTATCACTTGATACAGCTGTCACTTGATACAGCTATCACTTGATACAGCTATCACTTGATACAGCTATCACTTGATACAGCTGTCACTTGATACAGCTATCACTTGATACAGCTATCACTTGATACAGCTATCACTTGATACAGCTATCGTGCTGTGACGGTTCCACCTGAAGACGGAAGCTTGTGTTGCCTCCGAAACGTCGTGATTTTTATTTTATTTTACTTTTATTAATTTTTTACCTACGTGACTTTACCGAAATAACCTAAGAATTAGTTACTAGTCCAGCGCTAATCGGTGTGTTTGGAGAACAAACCCGCGCCGTTTACAATTCGCTTACCGTGACGTTTCTGGCCAATCGCCTGATGAAGCTGGGTGTCAAAGGGGGCGTCCATAAATGACGTCACGCACCTAGAAGGGGGGGGGGGGTGGGGGTCAGACATTTGTGACGATGTGGGGGGGGGGGGGGGGTTGAGAAATGTGACGTCACATCAAAATGCGCAACTTTAAATGAATATAGACAACACGTTCTACTTAATTAAATAGACTTTTTAATAAATGTTTTCTCCTACAACATCAGAGTGCAGCGCCACATTAAATACGCACTACAATGACAATAGTTTAGAGCGATTTGAAGCATTTTTTTATTTTTTTTGGGGGGGGGGGCAGAGCTTTGTGACGTCATATTTAAAGGGAGGGGGGTCTGACTTTTTTGTGACGCCGTGTGACGACGACGGGGGGGGGGGGGGGGGTCAAAAATCCTCAAAAATCGCGTGACGTCATTTATGGACGGCCCCTAACTAGCGAAACGCTCTTACGCACTCACTCACACTCTTACTCACAAAGATCCCCCGTATAGCCTGTAACCGACTGTAGGGGCAAGTGCTGTTAGCGAGCAGCACCTGTGAAGGCCGGCGCTGTGGCACACGAGGGGGTGGGTGGGTGGCCAGCGCCACGCCCGGCTGCCTTTGTCTCCCTCGTGGAGATGTTTACACGGGACCGGTTCAGATGATCGTCACCAGAGTTGTTGGCCGTGAGCTGGAATCGAACTCGGGTCGTCAGGTTCCGGCCAGCACTCCCCCGCACTCTTCACGCGACAAGAGGTCAAGAAACAGCATCAGCTGTTCGGAACGCGAAGCAGGAAAAGCGCACCACAACTGGAATGTCCCCATGCGAAGGTGACATCGAACATTCCGATTCTCTCGAGCTCGTTCTGTCGACGCTTCTCGTTAGAATTCAGCATCACAGGAAACTGAACTTTTTTCTTTCATTGCTACCAGATGTAAGGGCCCCACTTACAGAGGGAAAAAAGTATTTGATCCCCTGCTGATTTTGTACGTTTGCCCACTGACAAAGAAATGATCAGTCTATAATTTTAATGGTAGGTTTATTTAAACAGTGAGATACGGAATAACAACAACAAAAATCCAGAAAAACGCATGTCAAAAATGTTATAAATTGATTTGCATTTTAGTTCTTTTCCAGAAGTCTCGTGGCTACCACAAATGATGGGGCTCCAACGAAGTGGGGCTTCATCGCGGAGACATTTAACGCAGCGGCCAAATAACTCTGAACGCGTGATGTCGACCACGTGGGGAGAGAAAGAGACGCGCCAACTCCGAATTTCGAACAGGCCTTCGGTCGGGATCGAACCCACGACCTTCCTGTATACCAGGCGAGGGAGTTAACATCTCCTAGCCACCGTGATAATGATGAGAGACACGCAAACTCCAAATATACAGCAGCAAGCGTCAGGGTCGGGATCGAACCCACGACTTCCTGCATACCAGGCGAGGTAGTTAACATCTCCGAGCCACCGTGACGATGATGAGAGAGAGACACGCAAACTCCAAATATACAGCAGCAGGCGTCAGGGTCGGGATCGAACCCACGACCTCCTGTACACCAGGCGAGGTAGTTAACATCTCATAGCCACCGTGATGATGATGAGAGAGAGACACGCAAACTCCAAATATACAGCAGCAGGCGTCAGGGTCGGGATCGAACCCACGACCTTCCTGTACACCAGGCGAGGTAGTTAACATCTCCTAGCCACCGTGATGATGAGGAGCCTCAAACGAAGGTGGCAGCAGCAACCACGTGGCAAGGAGCCGGCGCAAACCAACAATTTCCCAAGCTCTGCGATCCTCTTTATATGATTATTATTACGAAGTTGTCATCGGACATTTAGTGCTGCCCTTTGTGTTCAGTTTGTTGTACTTCCGCAACCCCCGCACCTCCGATTAGCACGGTTGGCTACGTACGGTGCGAAAGAAGTTCAACATGCATACACACTACACTTTACACTACACTATACACTACACTATACACTACACTATTATACACTGCACGATACACTACACTATACACTACAATATACACTACACCACTATACACTACACGATACACTACACTCTACACTACACTATACACTACTATACACTACACTATACACTACACTATACACTACACTTTTATACACTACACTATACACTACACTATACACTACTATACACTACACTATACACTACACTATACACTACACTATTATACACTACACGATACACTACACTATACACTACAATATACACTACACCACTATACACTACACTATACACTACACTCTACACTACAATACACACTACACTATTATTACCCCGAGCTCTCAATATTCTGATAGTGCGCTGTCTTTGAGTTGTACGCCTTTTGGCGTCATCTGGTCCAACACCAGTGGAGACTAGGCTCTAAGAAAAGCTGTCTCGGGTGTGGACCAATCAACTTCAAGGACAGTGCATATCATTATCATTATCAGAGTTGTTTCTTTTTGTATGCATTTTGACTGCTTGTGTTGTGGTTATTGCAAACATGATCCCTTGTATAAAGGTGCCAGTTTTTGTACCAGTTGAAAGGGTAAAAACCTATACACTACACTACTATACACTACTATACACTACACTATACACTACACTACTATACACTACACTACTATACACTACTATACACTACACTATACACTACACTACTATACACTACACTATTATACACTACTATACACTACACTATACACTACTTACACTATACACTACTATACACTACACTACTATACACTGTATTAGATATTGATCAAAGTCCTAAAATTAGACGGAGATAATCTGATTAAAACAAATCACGCGACCACGTGATGCTCTTTTAACATGTATTCATCCTCAAATCATTGAGAATTCAATGTCCGTGAACTTCTGTAACTGGTGTCACCCCCTTGAGCATCATTGACTCCCCCTCGACGTTCCCTGTAACCGTTGGGGGGCTGTCCATAAATGACGTCACGCACCTATGGGGGGGGGGGGGGAGGTCAGACATTTGTGACGATGTGTGACGAGGGGGGGAGGGTTGAGAAATGTGACGTCACATTAAAATGCGCAACTTTAAATAAATATAGACAACACGTTCTACTTCATTAAATCGACGTTTTAATACATTTCGATTTAAAGCTTTCGTGACTGCAGGGATTCATCTTCTTGGTTCTTTCGGTAAAGTCACGTAGAAGGGAAATAATAAAATAATAAAAATAGAACATAATAAAATACAATTCTCACGACGTTTCGGCCACAACGCAAGCAGCCGTCCTCAGGTGAAGAACAGGTCTGTAGCATTCAGACGCTGTCTTTCCGACAGACCTGTTCTTCACCTGAGGACGGCTGCTTGCGTTGTGGCCGAAACGTCGTGAGAATTGTATTATGTTCTATTTTTATCTTTGTAATAAATGTTTTCTCCTACAACATCAGAGTGCAGCGCCACATTAAATACGCACTACGATGACAATAGTTTAAAGCGATTTGAAGCATGTTTTTTTTTGGGGGGGGGGCAGAGCTTTGTGACGTCATATTTCAGGAGGGGGGGGGTCAGACTTTTTGTGACGCCGTGTGACGAAGGGGGGGGGGGTCAGAAATCGTCCAAAATCGCGTGACGTCATTTATGGACGGCCCCTCAAGACCTCCTCCCACCATTGACCGGCGTGGTGAAGTATGGTCACACAACGCGAATGGATACAAGTCGTCGAATTCCTGAGCGAGCTGTCAATCACGTTTCCAAGCCCCTCCCCAACTACCCCCCCCACACCCCTCCCCCCCTCCCACCTCATTTGCATAATAAGCCACCGCCCCCCTTATTTGCATAATTCCGGATGGGGAAACACCCGCACGTGGCCTGCTGGTGACGTCACCGGCGGTCTCGCGCCGGTGGAAAGGATGGGGGGGGGGGGTGGAGTCAGACGGGGCGGGGGGCGGAAAGGGGCGTGGCCTCTACCCAAACTCGGGAGCTGATTGGCTGGTGGGAAAACAGGGCGGGGCAATTTGCATGTGAGGGGGGGTGGGGGAGTGGTGGTGCAGCGGTTAGCGCCAGCTGTCTTCGCCGCGTGAGAAGCCGTCCCCACCCGAGTTCGATTCCTGCTCTCGCCCACCAACTCGGCCTGCGACGATGATCTTGAACCGGGTCCTGGGCCTCCCCTAGGTCGACTCAGCCTTCGAACGGGTAACCCGCTGCCGATGCGTGAACATCGCCACTCGGTATAACAAAGACCCCCCCCCCCACACGGGGCGTGGCGTCCTCGTGTGCCCGTGGGGGTTGCCCGCCTTCTTTCTGTTGCCCGCCTTCGCTGGCGTTGCTCGCCTACAAACAGCCCTTGCCAGAGGCGACTTGCCTTGTGCAAAGGGGGCGGTGGCCTCTAGCGCAGGCTGCGTGCTGATTGGGTAGCTGGTGGTCAGCTGGGGTGGAGGGGTGGGGCCAGCGGAGGTGATTTGCATGCGGCGGTTGGGTGGGAGGCGTGGCCTCAGCAGCAGCAGCTGGGCCGGAGAGTCGAGGAAGCATTGAGGAAGGGGCTGTCTGGGTGAGCGGCTGGGTGAGTGGCTGGTTGAGTGAGTGAGCGAGTCGGTGAGTGAGTGGGTGAGTGGCTGGGTGAGCGAGTCGGTGAGTGAGTGGGTGAGTGGCTGGGTGAGCGAGTGGGTGAGTGGCTGGGTGAGCGAGTCGGTGAGTGGCTGGGTGAGCGGCTGGGTGAGTGAGTGGGTGAGTGAGTGAGTCGGTGAGTGAGTGAGCGAGTCGGTGAGTGAGTGGGTGAGCGAGTCGGTGAGTGGCTGGGTGAGCGGCTGGGTGAGCGAGTCGGTGAGTGGCTGGGTGAGCGGCTGGGTGAGTGGCTGGGTGAGTGGCTGGGTGAGTGGCTGGGTGAGCGAGTCGGTGAGTGGCTGTCTGGGTGAGTGGCTGGGTGAGCGAGTCGGTGAGTGGGTGAGTGGCTGGGTGAGTGAGTGGCTGGGTGAGCGAGTCGGTGAGTGACTGTCTGGGTGAGTGGCTGGGTGAGCGAGTCGGTGAGCGAGTGGGTGAGTGTCTGGGTGAGTGGCTGGGTGAGCGGCTGGGTGAGCGAGTTGGTGAGTGAGTGAGTGGCTGGGGGAGCGAGTGAGTGGCTGGGTGAGTGGCTGGGTGAGCGGCTGGGTGAGCGAGTTGGTGAGTGAGTGAGTGGCTGGGGGAGCGAGTGAGTGGCTGGGTGAGCGAGTCGGTGAGTGGCTGTCTGGGTGAGTGGCTGGGTGAGCGAGTCGGTGAGCGAGTGAGTGAGTGTCTGGGTGAGTGGCTGGGTGAGCGAGTCGGTGAGCGAGTGGGTGAGTGGCTGGGTGAGTGGCTGGGTGAGCGAGTCGGTGAGTGAGTGGGTGAGTGGCTGGGTGAGCGAGTCGGTGAGTGAGTGGGTGAGTGGCTGGGTGAGCGAGTCGGTGAGTGAGTGGGTGAGTGGCTGGGTGAGCGGCTGGGTGAGCGAGTTGTTGAGTGAGTGAGTGAGCGAGTCGGTGAGTGGCTGGGTGAGCGGCTGGGTGAGCGAGTTGTTGAGTGAGTGAGTGGCTGGGGGAGCGAGTGAGTGGCTGGGTGAGCGACTGGGTGAGCGAGTCGGTGAGTGGCTGGGTGGGTGAGTGGCTGGGTGAGCGAGTTGGTGAGTGGGTGAGTGGCTGGGTGAGTGACTGCCTGGGTCAGTGGCTGAGTGAGCGAGTGGCTGGGGGAGCGAGTGGCTGGCTGGCTGAGTGAGTGGCTGGCTGGGTGAGTGGCTGGCTGGGTGAGTGGCTGGCTGGGTGAGTGGCTGGCTGGGTGAGTGGCTGGCTGGGTGAGCGAGTGGCTGGGTGAGCGGCTGGCTGGGTGAGCGAGTGGCTGGGTGAGCGAGTGGCTGGGTGAGCGAGTGGCTGGGTGAGCGAGTGGCTGGGTGAGTGGCTGGCTGGGTGAGTGAGTGGCTGGGTGAGTGGCTGGCTGGGTGAGCGAGTGGCTGGGTGAGCGGCTGGCTGGGTGAGCGAGTGGCTGGGTGAGCGAGTGGCTGGGTGAGCGAGTGGCTGGGTGAGCGAGTGGCTGGGTGAGTGGCTGGCTGGGTGAGTGAGTGGCTGGGTGAGCGAGTGGCTGGGTGAGCGAGTGGCTGGGTGAGCGAGTGGCTGGGTGAGCGAGTGGCTGGGTGAGCGAGTGGCTGGGTGAGCGAGTGGCTGGGTGAGCGAGTGGCTGGGTGAGCGAGTGGCTGGGTGAGCGAGTGGCTGGGTGAGCGAGTGGCTGGGTGAGCGGCTCGGTGAGCGAGTTGGTGAGTGGCTGGGTGAGCGAGTGGGTGAGCGAGTTGGTGAGCGAGTGGGTGAGCAAGTGGCTGGTTTACTCGACAGAGACGGAGCTCTCGGAGGGTGGAGGAAGAAGAGGAGGAGGAGGGGGGAGACTGAAGTGGTTGCAGGAGACGGGGGCGAGGAACTGAGAGGCAACACGAAAGCGGCTGCGGCTGCGTGGAGACGCCAAGTTGAAGGGGAGCTGATTCCAGCCTCGTGGTGAGTAACAGGACAATGCGCGACCCGCGCCGAGACTAACACCACCACCACCATCACCACCACCGTCACCACCATCCCCTGGTGCTGTCACTCTGCCTCACTGTGAGTCGGTATCAGCATCCGCACTGTCGACACCACCACAATCCCTCTGTAACGTGGCAATGTACCGCCGCAACCATTCCTGTGTCATTGTCGTCGTCGTCGTCATCTACAAGACACTTCGCACACCACTCACCTACCCACTCACCCACTCACTCAACTACCCACTCACTCACCGACCCACTCACTCACCTACCCACTCACCCACTCACTCAGCTACCCACTCACTCACCGACCCACTCACTCACCTACCCACTCACCCACTCACTCAGCTACCCACTCACTCACCGACCCACTCACTCACCTACCCATTCACCCACTCACTCACCTACCCACACACTCACCTACCCACTCACCCACTCACTCAGCTACCCACTCACTCACCTACCCACTCACTCACCTACCCACTCACTCAGCTACCCACTCACTCACCTACTCACTCACCTACCTACCCACTCACCTAGCACTCACTCACCTACTCACCTACGCACCCACTCACCTAGCCACTCACTCACCTACCCACTCACCTACCCACTCACTCAGCTACCCACTCACTCACCTACTCACTCACCTACCTACCCACTCACCTAGCCACTCACTCACCTACTCACCTACGCACTCACCTAGCCACTCACTCACCTACCCACTCACCTACCCACTCACCTACCCACTCACCTAGCCACTCACTCACCTACTCACCTACGCACTCACCTACCCACCCTCTCACCCACTCACTCACCTACCCACTCACCTACCCACTCACTAACCACCCACTCACCTACCCACTCATCTACCCACTCACCTACCGACTTACCTACCCACTCACTCACCCACCCTCTCACTCACCTACCCACCCACCTACCCACCCACTCACCTACCCACTCACTCACCTACCCATTCACTCATCTACCCACTCACCTACCCACTCACTCACTCATCTACATACTCACATACCCACTCACTAACCTACCCACTCACCTAGCCACTCACTCACCTACCCACTCAACTACTCACTCACCTACCCACCCACTCACCCACCCTCTCACCCACTCACCTACTCACTCACCTACCCACCCACTCACCTACCCAGTCACTTGGCCACTTCAGAGTATAATTGTCCGAGTGTTGAACTTTACGCTCTCACTCCGGGAGACGCCCTGAGATCTTGTGTACAGTGCCAAGGGCTCAACACAAACCACCAGACGGACAGCAACAAAGAGCAGGTTACTCGAGTGGAGCAATGTTTGTTTAGTTGAAGAGCTTTGGGAAACCAGAGACGATTAACTAATCAGAGAAGTATTGTTATCTGCAGTGATGCGAGTGATTGGGCGAGTGGCTGGGTGAGTGAATGAGGCGATGAGTGAGTGGGTGGGTGAGTGGGTGGGTAGGTGAGCGAGTGAGTGGGTATGTGAGTGGGTAGGTGAGTGAGTGAGTGGGTGAGAGGGTGGGTGAGTGAGTGGGTAGGTGAGTAAGTGGGTAGGTGAGTGAGTGGGTAGGTGAGTGGGTGGGTATGTGAGTGGGTAGATGAGTGAGTGGGTAGGTGAGTATGTGAGTGGGTAGATGAGTGAGTGGGTAGATGAGTGAGTGGGTAGATGAGTGAGTGGGTAGATGAGTGAGTGGGTAGATGAGTGAGTGGGTAGGTGAGTATGTGAATGGGTAGATGAGTGAGTGGGTAGATGGGTGAGTGGGTAGATGAGTGGGTAGGTGAGTGAATGGGTGAGTGGGTAAGAGGAGTGAGTGGGTAGGTGAGTGAGTAGGTGAGTATGTGATTGGGTAGGTGAGTGAGTGGGTAGATGAGTGGGTAGGTGAGTGAGTAGGTGAGTATGTGAATGGGTAGATGAGTGAGTGGGTAGATGGGTGAGTGGGTAGATGAGTGAGTGAGTAGGTGAGTATGTGAATGGTGAGGTCCGCTGTAAGGGTTTAAGTTAGAGTCTTAGTTATGGTTCAGTTATCGTGAGTGACGTCAATCTATTATCAGCATCATGATGACTTCGCAGTATCATCTTGACCATCATCATCACAGTTCCTAAATCACAATCACCAACATCAACCACCATTGCTATGATCACCCCTTCACTGTCACAATTACTCCTGTGACGTCATGTCATTAGTACTGCCTCTGCTGTCTGTAGTTTGCTGTCTTGTGAGTACTCTGCTCTTGTGTACTGTCCTCTTGTGCCTCGTCTGTGATCTTGACGTATCTGTGCTGTCTTGTCTGCGCCGTTTTGTCTGTTTCATAGTTATCTCGTTTGTACTGCATCGTTCGACTTCCTCGACTGGTTCGTCTAGTTTGTACTGCCTCGTCTCTTGTGTCTGCCGACTTTGTACTGCCTCGACTGTATGTTGGCAGTTTAGTTTGTACTGCCTTGTACTGTCTAGTTTGTACTGCCTTGTTGTGTCTAGTTTGTACTGCCCTGTTATGTATAGTTTGTACTGCCTTGTTCTGTCTAGCTTGTACTGCCTTGTTATGTCTAGTTTGTACTGCCTTGTTCTGTCTAGCTTGTACTGCCTTGTTCTGTCTAGTTTGTACTGCCTTGTCTCTCTGTATAATGTGTACTGCCTTGTTCTGTCTAGTTTGTACTGCCTTGTTCTGTCTAGCTTGTACTGCCTTGTTCTGTCTAGCTTGTACTGCCTTGTCTCTCTGTATAATGTGTACTGCCTTGTTCTGTCTAGCTTGTACTGCCTTGTTCTGTCTAGCTTGTACTGCCTTGTTCTGTCTAGCTTGTACTGCCTTGTCTCTCTGTATAATGTGTACTGCCTTGTTATGTCTAGCTTGTACTGCCTTGTTCTGTCTAGTTTGTACTGCCTTGTTCTGTCTAGCTTGTACTGCCTTGTTCTGTCTAGCTTGTACGGCCTTGTCTCTCTGTATAATGTGTACTGCCTTGTTCTGTCTAGCTTGTACTGCCTTATCTCTCTGTGTAATGTGTACTGCCTTGTTATGTCTAGTTTGTACTGCCTCGTGTACTTTGACGCCAAGTCCATCTCAGCCACCGTCACCCCCAGCGGACCAAAACAAACATCGCGAAGATTTTGCATACATCTAATTTGCATGAATCGATTCCCCCCCAAAAACCGTTCTACCACGAACTGGAATCGCGGTAATAGAATCGGTTGCCAAGCAAATAGATTCTAACGACCCCACCCTTTCCTCACTTGACACCGGTCAAAGTTCACCCTTCAGCATCACCACCATCACCACCACCACAATCATCACCACCATCATCATCACCACCATCATCACCACCATCATCACCACCACCATCATCATCATCACCACCACCATCATCATCATCACCACCACCATCATCATCATCACCACCACCATCATCATCATCACCACCACCATCATCACCATCACCACCACCACCATCACCACCACCACCATCACCACCACCATCACCACCACCATCACCACCACCACCACCACCACAATCATCACCATCACCACCACCACCATCATCACCATCACCATCATCACCACCACCATCACCACCACCACCACAATCATCACCATCACCACCACCATCACCACCACCATCACCATCATCACCACCACCATCACCACAGCAGCAGCCATGGTCAATCCGCTGCTGGATGAAGCCCTCCCCGAGCCACAGCCAAGCCAGCGGTCGCACCGACGTCGCTTCCATCTCCACGAAGACGTCCCATGGGATTTGAATTTCGATTTAAAGCTTTCGTGACTGCAGGGATTCATCTTCTTGGTTCTTTCGGTAAAGTCACGTAGAAGGAAAATAATAAAATAATAAAAATAAAACATAATAAAATCATTCTCACGACGTGAGAACAGGTCTGTCGAGAATGAGTGGGTAGATGAGCGAGAAGGCCTTCTCGACAGACCTGTTCTCCACCTGAAGACGGCTGCTTGCGTTGTGGCCGAAACGTCGTGAGAATTATTTTATTATGTTTTATTTGTATTACTTTATTATTTTCCTTCTACGTGGCTTTACCGAAAGAACCAAGAAGACGTCCCATGGGACTCGCGTTCCATCTCTGATTGGTGATGCCCCCCCCCCCTGGTGCTGCCACTCCATCATGACCACCACCACCACCACCATCATCTATCCACTGCTGGATGTAGATCGGTGTCACTCATCTGTGTATTGTTCTCCAATTCGCATGTTCCTCGTTCCGTCTCTGAGTGTAACGCCAAGCCCGCATCTCCCCATGCTTTTACCATGACCACCACCACCACCATCATCATCTATCCATTGCTGGATGTAGATCGGTGTCACTCGCCGCTGTGTTGTTACTGTTCGCCAGTCTCCGTGTTAGTCGCGAGCATTCATCAAACCCCTCCATCTCCATCTCCTTGGTGGACGTTACCGCCGACTCGACCTTTGACGTTTAAATCCACCCAAACGCACCCAAACACACGAGGATGGAATTCAGTCGCTCTGTTCAAGGCGCGCAACTTGACATCGTACGAATGTGGACCCCGCACGTGTCTAGCAGATTTTCTGGACGCTTGTGAACACGCGTGTTTATTCTGGACGCTTGTGAACACGCGTGTTTATTCTGGACGCTTGTGAACACGCGTGTTTATTCACTATTTATACTGATGTTTGTTGTCCGGTAATGTTTGTGGTTTACGTTTTTTTTTAGGGTTTTTTTTCTCCACGTTTACTTCAATTATGTTGGTTTTAGTTTATTTGGCATGCAGTAACGGTGCTTATTCAACTAGTGATGTCCATGCGTGGCTGTCGTGTAGCAGAAACCCATGGTTTAGGTGAGGCTTCAGTCTTGAGCCGCGATGTGTATCGCGGTTTTTGCTTTCGAGGCACTTTCCAAGGGTCTCGCGTATACAAAGACAAAGATCCCCCTTATAGCCTTTACAAACTTTTGGGGCAAGTGCTGTTAGCGAGTAGTACCTATGAAGGCCG